TATTTCTGTAATAACTAATACTGTACACTGGATAACAAATCTATTTTATTATATGTCTTCCTGGGCACAGCTACATTAATGGGCAATTGTAAAAAACCACAAAATTATTGCTATTAGTCAATTGATTTGAAGCCTTGGTGAAAACATATTGAGGTTATAATCTAGCTGGACATAGGCATTCAATGCTTGGATAAAATTGTAGATTGTAGCTTGAAGCAATATGAAAAATAACAAGAAAAGATATACTAGTCCTGTTCTCTTTGGCTTCTGTTATATCTGTAAGGGACCAATATTCAGAAAGTGTTGTTTTATGGCAATAGACAAGAAGAGAGGCATTTCTTGTTCTTCACTACCCATTTCTTCTAAGGAAGTATTAAGACTAGTTTAGTACTTCTAGCAAAAGGCTTCCCAAATTTTGACACAGTGGCCAATCAGGGCATTGTGAAGGCAAAAATTCTCATCAACTTGCATACCCTCCTTCTGGGTCTTAAATCATAGTTCTGCCCTCAGTGCCTCTCTAGGCATCTCTAAATCATAACTGCAATCATTGTCTCAGCATGTACAATCTCATAGCTGTCTAAAACAACTGTATTAGTAAACATTTTTCTTGTGCAAAGTCCTGCCTGTGCATTGAGGTCTGTGCTGTTGACTGTAGCCTGAGCCTCCTTGGATGTGAATATAAAAGCCTATATATAGAACAATGAAGTGCTACCTATAAATGTATAGATACCAAGTCCTATCTATAAACACATGCTTCAATCAATGTTAATGGCACTAAAATGCTTTTAACTTTTGCTGGATCTGATCTATGATTTCTTAAAAACCCTTGATAAACAATGATGTTCTGTCTGTCTTCCATGAAGCACTTGGAATCAATGCAGGGAGAAAAAGTCATAAGAACATGAGTGCTCCCATTAAAACCTATTCACAATGTTATTTTGCTTTACCTATAGCTGCAACTCTATAGTACTGATTTCAGTCTTTACAATCTTCATTTTTACATCATACACATATACCCAGGACATTCACTTCTGGGGTAATCAATGTTATTCAAAGCACAGGAAAAGAGTAAGAAATAATGTCAAAGATATTAAAGACAGGAGATAAGAGAAATGTCAAAGAAATCCAACTAGACCAGGGTAGGCAACCTTGGCTTTTTTTTTTATGACTCGTGGACTTCAACTCCCAGAATTCCTGAGCCAGCATGGCTCAGCTTGGAAACCTCTCCCTTTTCCCTCAGCCATGCTGGCTCAGGAATTCTGGCAGTTGAAGTCCATGGGTCATAAAAGAACCAAGGTTGCCTACCCCTGAACTAGACTGATTTTATACCAATACTGTTCAGTAGTCCTCTCCACAGTTTTCTATTCTGCTTCTGGATTCAGTCCTGAAGCAGAACAGACTGGGTTTAGTGAATGCTTGGGGTATGTTTGCATAACAAAGCCTATTGTACTTTCTTTGCTTATATTTGGATATATCCAAGCTCTGCTGAAACATATTTTGTTTCATCTTACTATTACAACATAATCTTAATTCTGAAAGTGTGTACCACTTCAGCTGATTCCAAATGCTACAACCATATTATTAACTATATTATTAAGAACTGAAGAAGCTTCTTGGATGAGAAGCGAAACATCTTCAAGGAAAAATGAAGAAAGTCAAGTTATTAACCACAAACATTTATGGGGAGCACCTTTAGTTTCCTGCTAAAAAGGCTTCCCTGGCTACTTGGTCTGCTTTTGGTCACAGTTATCACAGCTATTTATGAATTACATGCCTTGGTACCAGGATATTTGAAATATCTTGTTCTCTCCCCCAAAAGGCTGAGCTTTTAAAGACATTGAGAAAATTAAATGTCTTTCAAAAAGACTGTAGTACTGAAGCATCGGAGTATCTTCCTTTTTGATAATTGCATATGACAATTTATGAGATTTATATCCCATCTCTCTCCTCCAAGAGCTCAAATCTTGTTAAAAGAGGTTTACATTTTATCCTTGCAACAACAACCCTGTGGTGTAGGTTGGACTGAGGGGGAAAGAGAGACCAAAGATCCAAAGTTATTAAATAGGTTCTTTGGCTAAAGGTGAATTACAATTACAAAATCTTAACCACTATATCCCCATGGGCTATCTTTGCATATAAAGTATACATTATATCTCTACTTCCCTCTCTGTCTCAAGGTAGGATAATAATTCAGCTTTTCCTGACCTCGAGCCCTCTAGAACTATTTAGTCTGTATTTCCCTGATGTCTCTATTGGCTGGAAATTCTGGAATTTGTATTTTAAACATACAATGGAATGGTTGCGACCATTTAAAGATCACATTCACAAATAAACTGCCTTGGCATAAGTGAAGTACATAATGCCAATACATTTTAATTTATACCAAATTTAATTCTACAGAAGATTTGCTAAGAATGACATTTCTCTTTCATACACATACACACAAACAGACACACATTTATTCTTAGATTCTTTTTTTTTTTTTAGGAAACTTTCAGATGTTGTAAATCAATTCCTTGTGTCTCTTTTTCATTCATCTGCTATACATTAAGTTGAAACTCTGGGCATCTAGTCATTTCCCAATAGCCTTTCATCTCTGGTGATGCCTGGGACCAATTAAAATCTTTCTCTCCCTTAAATAAAGGATGTGTATTGCTCCATGCTGTAGATTTTGCCTGTGATTTTTGCTGCTTCTTTCAGGATGGAGCAAGGACTTAATTTGAATTTTTGCACCTAAATCACTCTAGATGTTACCAACCTACTAAACACATTAAATACCATGCTTAGAATAATTGAAACTGTGTAAATATTTCAAAATAGATAAATCATGTGAAATATTTCACTGCTATTGTCTTACAAATATCTTAATTTAGTATTTAAAAATTATTGAAAACTACTCTGAAAAATTTTGGCACATGTAAAAAGATATGAGGAAAAGAAAGACCATAAACAAAATCTCCCATCAATGTTAAGCTGAAAGAAATTATACTTAGCATCTGTTTATTGGGGGCAGGTTTAATCAAGACTTCCCTTTCCGCATGGATTTTAACATTTCTTTTTTCTCTGAAAGACACAAGAATTCATTTTATCCAAAACACTTTAGGATTTGCAACAGAATATATGATCCTCCCTCTATATCCTTACTTCCTGTTATATATGGTGCCATATGTGCTCCACAAAAGCTTTCACTGACATCTTCCAGCCTGAACTAAGGTTTATCATCATTGTCCCTAATTTACTCCTTGTTGCTCTTTGAATCTGTTTTCTTCTGCCAGATGCTGTTTTCCCACCATTCCCTTTACAGAAAATCCTGCAGCTGAAGTAATAGATTCCAGTTAAGAAAAGGATCTCACAAATCTGATAACATCTTTTGTTTGCATTCTAAAAACCTCATTCTTCATTGATCATACAAGTATATACTAAATGTCCTATTTTTAGGACTTTTAGTATACTTATACAAAATGGTGTATTTTCTACTGCAATATATGCCCTTTCTATTTGTTGGAAAGTATTTGAAATGCAATCTATTTTTGAAATTGTTTTAAGTATTATACACAATTTAAATACAAGCCTAAACTAGTTAGAAATCACCAATATAAGATTAATGTTAATGTAACTCTAGCCACAAGATGACATTCCCTCCCCATTCTTTTATTATTCATTATGCCTACGAATACGCCCATCCTATCTACATTATGGAGAAACCAGCATGCAAATCACAAAATAAAATATGGAAATTTAGAGTAACATTTGCAGTGGCTGCATTTTAGCACACTGTGGAATACACGAAACCACAAGGAAAACATGAACTCAATAAATATGATCTAAATACCTTTGAAACTATTTTAATATTTGCATTGGAGAATTCAAAATATCCTTACTTCAATGTCCTGTTCTATTAACTCCATAATAAGTGTGCACAACATTGCAATCTCAGACTGACATAATGGCATTGTTAATTTTATCTTAATGTTCAATTTATACTTTGCATTTTTTTCTTCCATCATGTCCGATTGTCAGAGACTATCTGGAAAAACCCTGCAGTTTTCAAAAGTGGTTTTATATTGCCTCCTTCCTAGGGCTGAGAAAAAATGAGTGGTTCGAGGTTACCCAGCTGGTTTCATGCCCAATGCAGAACTAGAACTAATGGCCTTCTGGTTTCTAGCCTAATAATGCCTTAACTACACCAAATTGGATCAAACTTTGTATTATATAGGTTTAAAGTTCACCCCAGTGAAGAGAATGTAAAGTACAAGAGTTAGGAGATACCTCTGTCAATCACAATAAACAAAGGAATGTTTTGGCTTGTTATATGGCAACTCATTTGAACCTAAGGCATCTAAGGCTGTGTGCAATTACTTGATTTCAGAAATGGCTGGCTACTACCTTCTTCCTGAGGCTGAGAGAGAATGAATGGCCCCAAATCACAAAATTCACTTTTGTGTCTAAGAGAGGATTAAAAGTGAGGTTTCCCTACTCCAAGTCCAGTTCCTAAACCTTTATACCAAATTGGCTCTCAGCTAGTAAGCATACGGTATTCAAAAAAATAAAATCAATGAGATTTATTATTGCAACATTATTTAATCTGTCAAGGAGGATAATATACAAATGAACTCTCCATTTGGAAGTCCTGAAGCCATTGTGATCAGCACCAGCCCTGTCTTCTCTGCTTTCTTTTCTTTTTCTATGCTAGCCAAGTTCAAAAGAGGGTGAAGAAGAAAATGAGGAAAACCAAGAATGGTTAAAGCTCTGCATTTTATTCCATACACATGAATGCTGGGATGTGTAGTTTTTAAAATTACTCAAAGATCAGGAGAAATCATCATCATCATCCTTCTTCTTCTTCTCTTTCTTCTATAGACTAGAAAGTTCCTGATAATGTATGGACTTAAAACTTCCATTGTCAATTCTGATAAATGTATTATTTATCTTTTACTTATTACTGTGTCCATACTTTTTGGACACAGATATGGCCTTATTCTTCACAATAAAATTCTCACCTCACTAGAATCCTCTTGCTGATTGATCACAGCTAGTGCATCCTCTGCAGCTTGTCGCTTGGCCTCTGCCACTGTGCGCTCCATTTTAGCTCTCTCTGAAGTAATCATATCATGGGCTTTCCGTTCTGCCTCTGACACTGCCTTCTGCAACTCGGTCATTGCTTGCCGTTTTACTTCATTGACTGCTTCCTCTGAAAACAAAACAAGAAATTTTTCTTGGTTCTGCAGGAACAAGATCCAAAGACTACTGGTTTTTATGCACAAAAGTTAATTAGATTATGGAAGCTACTGATCTATATAATGTAAATATTCTATATTTGGGTAAATGTCCTTAAATTCAAAGAGCACATAATACCAGCAACTAAACCATAGAACACATTTCTAGCTTTCTAATATATTGGGGTCCCAATGGGGATGTTCTATGCTGGAGATGATATCAGCAAGGTAATATTCACAAAGCTATTATATATAAATTTCAATGTACAAATCGTTGTTCCAGAAATGTAGATCTATAACTGGAATGAAAAGAGGACATATTAGCTGCTGGAGGAAGGGAGGAATAGAGAATGATTACTTTTCTTAAACACGGGTGCATAATCCCCAGGGGACAAAATAACACAGAAATGGTAGAAAAACTTCATAGAGATTTGGGTAAATACAGTTTATTAGAAATTTCTTTAAACTCTGATGTCAAATACAGTACTTGTAGCACAGAGGCTTGGCAGAACAAAAAAGAACAAAATTGGCACAAGTCCAGATTTCACAGTTAAAATAGTTTTAATGGGACTTTGGTGGTGGTTGAACTTAATAGTGTTAATGGTCTTTTTCAAATACCCTTCTAGAGATCAGTGCTTTAGAACAATGCAAAGAGAGTTACCATGTCTTCCATTTAAATTAGCTAGCAAAAATTACCATAATGCGTTATTCTTTTTCACAGTGTATAACATGATTTGTCGTCAATGAGCTGACTGAGTTTTGTTTGATGCAAGAGAAGTGGAAGATTTCATGTATTCAACTGACAACTAAAACAAGTGATTTTAAAAAAATAACACTAACTACTCTAATTAACAAGGAAACTATCCTCCCTCTGATTTAGTGTATCTAATTTTCATCTTTATTCAAAGCAAAATGACAATGATTAATTGAAAATTTAATAAGCACTAATTATTAACTTGGCAAATGTAGTACCAATTAACACTCTATTAAAACTAATTATGACATGTTTCATTCAAGTATTTGCACTTAATTGTTTCACCCACTTAAGAAGCACCTTAATTAAATGTTCTGTTTAATTAAAAACATAAGATTTCTAATAAAAATGTTTAACTGTAAAATAAAAATATTTGAGTTACAAATGCTCAGTGGTTATAGTGAGATGTACAGTACATTATCTTCCAGTACCATAAATTTAGTTCTCTTTATCTGATGCCATCCTATTCTTAAACTTATCTGAATTTAAGGCTAGGAATTAGGAATTCTTATTTGAGATTAAGTCTCAATGGAGTCAATGAGACTTACGTGTATGAATATAAGCATATAATTATGCCTTCATTAACTGCATAGACTGAGAACCTTGAACCTGCATTGGGTATGCTTAAACTTTTTGGATGAAGAACATCAAAACTTCCATCTCATCATCAACTGCATTTGAAATTTGTCTTTGTATCAATAGTAGTCTGATTTTTTATGTGATATTTGAAAAGCCCACATTAAATTCAACTTGGATACATGACATGATTTACATAAATCTTTTAAATCCTAGCTATATTCTTGATTCAGAAAGCATTCATTTTATGAGAGCAACATCATTGAAAATATTATCTATCTATCTATCTATCTATCTATCTATCTATCTATCTATCTATCTATCTATCTATCTATCTATCTATCTATCTACCTACCTACCTACCTACCTACCTACCTACCTACCTACCTACCTACAAGTATCACTTCTAGATAGCTGAAAATGTAAGACATTTCAATGACCCAATTTGAATAAATATTAATATATTTTTTGTAGTAGTGCGTAGGCAGTTCTGCTACAATTGTGTGTCTGAATATATTCAATTGATCAAGTTGTCCATATTATTAAAAGTAGGAATTTAGAACCTTTCTCTAAGAAGTGTAAGGGGCAAATGCCTTCCCTTTCTCTATCTTATCACTCTAAAAATGGTTTTTCCACTGTTGTTTGTTCACTGAAGTTGATAACCTAATCTATAGGAATGTGTGGAAAAATTATATAAAAAACTGGAATAGGTTTTTGGAACTATAATTCTCTACTATCTTTAATGAAAAGTATTGATCCATCTGATAATACCAAATAGTGATCATACATTACATGTGGCACTTTCTGTGTCTGGAACACATGTTTATTAATATCTCACCCTCTTTTAAAATATGTTAAGATAAATATTGATATGCCTAGGGAGGAAAATGCTATATTTATGAAACTTAAAATATGTCTTTACTTTACCTTCCCATAAATATTTGGAGGCTATGCAAGTCAAGATTCATTTATTTTGAATATTCAAGGTGAATTACTATTCTGTGTAAGTGGCAATAGGACAATAATTTTTGCTTACGATCAAAGCTGCAGCTTGACTAATTGTATATGCAAATAAGGCAATTTATATTTAAATTATGCATTCCTATTCTAGTCCCACCGGCACACAAAGATCAGCAAAGAGAATTGGTAGGACATTTGCAAGATGTTTGAATATTTATTACCAACTGCAAACATTTTCAGATCCCTTGAAAAAGAAATATATGAAGACAAACTCACAAATGAAAATCATATTATTGTCTTTACAAACGTTTTTAAAAAGAAGAAATGAACTTGATTACAGGCTCTTTTATGTGTAATTACCAATCAATTTCTATTTTATAATATTTTGTGTAACCTGAAAAAATTACAAATATTAGTGCTTACCCTTGGAGCCTAAAGTTTTACAAGCATACAGTACTGCAAAACATTACCAAAGCAGTAATAATTAATATCAATTAATATTTATCAGAAATGAACCCAAACCTCAGCTGAACATCCTGAATATGTCATAGAAATAGTGTAATAGACTAATACAAGGGGCATTTGTGGCAACTTTTATGCTAGAAAGAGCACAGGAAGTATCCAACACAAAAGTAGAAGTGGGGAGATGTTATAAAGTTTTCTTGGCCTGGCCAAAAACGGAATTCTTTTCATTCACAAAAACCCAGAAACAATTTCATGTCTTGATCCATTCAATAGTGAGAAAATGAGAAATCTCTTCCTTGCAATCAGCTCCACCAAACAACTTCCCAGTCCTTGCTTTTGCTTAGTACAAAGGGGAGATATTGCCAGTAGTTCAAGTAACAAGAGAAATCATGAGGAAGAAAAAAAGGGGAACTCTTTTTGGTTCTGTAATTCCCAATCCTGAAAGCCATTTCTCATCTCTGTAGAAAGAGACAGAAAAATAAGGGGAAAAAATCCCTCTTCTTACTCATTGCTACACTCATTCTTGTGTAGTAGTAAATAGTGTAGTGTAGTAAATAATGGGAGGAGTACTATGGGGAAGGGTTTGGGGGTGTGGGTGATCAACAATAATTGGTAAAAAGATGAGAATACTTCTCTGATCCAGATCATAGACTTTAAAAAATTTCATCCCCCAAATTTAATTTCTCAACTTTATCATTAAGCATCATTAAGACAGACTAGCATCATTTTACCAGGCTAGATTTCCTTTGGATTTAGCCAATGGATTGGATTGAGGTCAAGCAAATACAAATAGCTTCACACAAAGTCTATAAGTGAAAAAAATGATGTAGATTTCCTCATACAACACAATGGCTTTATTAGCAGATATTGCCTGCCAACCACTGGAGTAACGATGTTTAAATATCATTAGATTTAGACTTCTCCAGAAGGACAAGTGATATAATCTGGGTATCTTTCTTCTTTTAATATGATATTGATATCCCCTTATCTTCTGACATAGATATTGTTGTAAAATTATTAAATAATTAAATAATATTATTAAAATTATTTTAATAATTAGGAATTGAAACTGGTTTATTAGCAATGCCTTTCTTTTTTCTTTTTTAAATTCCTTTAAAAAAATCAAAGCATTAACAAACGCACACAGCTGCCAAACTGCTATGCTCATGTTTTTAAACAATTCTTACCAGCTTTCTTCCAGATCTCCTCTGGCACATATCCAGAAGCAGGCCTGTGAAGGAATTCCCGATGTGAGTCTATAAGAACCAGGGGGAGAATAAGAAAAATAAAACAGTATATTTTAAATAATAGTTAAACAGATTTATGTTTTTCATAATTCATTCAAGGAATTAAAAGTATAACCTGGATTAAAAGTGAAGAGAGCAATCATGCTTTTATTCTAAAATTCCTTATGAAATATTCCTACTAATTGAATCTGATATAATTGTGTTCTTCACCAATATCCACATTTTTGAAGACCATTTAAATGACATTCTTCATACTTATTATATATGTATGTATGTATGTATGTATGTATGTATGTATGTATGTATGTATGTATGTATACATGTTAGACAAATTTTTGGAAAAGTAAGAAAAAAGTACCAATATGACTGAAAATCTATTTTAGGGAAAAACTAGTATTAGTCACTGAAATGCACCCTAAGTTGCATTATTGCAACTTAATAACAGCAAATATTTTTCTTTAACTTACTTCATAATGGATTACTGGATCCCACTGTAAGATATAGAAAGACAATTTGTGACCACAAACTAAAAATGGCAGTCAAGATTTCTCATTCCAGAAAATGAGGGAAGGTTAATTATAAAGGCAACACTTTAGTTTATAATTGTGGCAAACAAATTGAACATCTATGGGATTGTCTCAACAGTTGTTCTCTACTAAATAAATCGTTATTGCTGGCTAGGTATAAAAGGAATCTGCTTTGTGACTGGTGAACCTTAGGAGAAGACTTACTGCCAATGTTACAACTGTCCTTGCCAGTGCTGTTTGCAGGATCAGGACCATAGAAAACACCCCTAGTCTTTCTGTATCAAGGCTGCACCATCCAACTGTGGATATGAAAGGATTATTGTTCTTTAGGAAAAGAGCTGCTGGAAACAACTGCCCTTGGTATTTGCAGGATCAGGAGCACCAAAGGCTTGTCCAGGTGGAACACCTCTGCATAAAGATTGAATGGCCAGTTCTCTGGCTTTGAAAGTATTATTGCCCATTTCAGGTTTCTTGACAAGAATTTGGGGGGGAAGGGGGTAATTCTCAGATGCTACTCTTTTCTTTTTTTTTAATAAATTTTTTATTGATTTTTAATTAAACAACAAATAACAGTATGATGCTACTCTTGATACAGCTTGACTAAGTCCATAGATTCACATTCACTGAAGCTAAGTATATTTCCTGCACAGTAGATGCAAATGCCTAAAATGGTTGGTTGCTTTTTGTTAGCATAAAGAGGTAATTCCCTATTTTACCCATTGTATATAATGTGAGAATCCTTCAAGCTGGATCAGACCAGGAAACTGGCTCAACAAGTTTCAACGGAACTATAGTTTATTAGTAACAGAATCTTGAAAGCCTGACCCTCTCTCTTATATTCCAGGAAGTTAGGGTGGAGCCAATTTGAATTTCTTCCTCATGTTTTGTTTCCCAATCTTAAGAGTGTTTTTGTAACCTTCTCTGCATACTTTCTCCAGGTCATCTCTGTATTTCTCTACAGGAAACTTCTTTTTCCTGCTTTTCCCAGTTGCTCTGCCCTGTGTTTTTGATCTTAAAACTGAGTGGATTTAGATTGTTGATAGAACTGACAAGTCTGCTCTGAGAAATTCTAGCTGTCAATCTAACATTTGCTCCCTGAAATGGTGGTTTTGCCATTAGTAGGCTTGCTGATAAGGGAGTGACCATTAAAATGGTTCTTTTGACATACCTTAAAGTGGAGAACTCTATTTTCATGTATAAGTATTGGACAGGAGCTGGGATTATAATTGGGATGAATTTCCAAATGTTGTTGGCCTTACTAAATTATGGTTTGTTGGAATGAGTTGATTAGGTGTATTGAAAAGAGTGAGGATTGAAGCATGATCAGAAAACAACATTTTAAATAGTAACTGGTAAGGAATTGCAATTTGGCTGTTACAGTTATTGGAAAGTTTATGAGTTTAGAGATCTCAGTTATGATTCACTTTCTGATGATACAATCTTATGTATCTAATCAGTAGTAGATTCTGGAGTACTGGATTCCTGCACCAAGCAAGGAACTGGATTGTATGATCCAACTCTGGATTTTAAATTGTGCTTGACTCCTTAATGAAATACTTAATCTTGTCTCTTTTGTTCAATGCTATCTTTATCTTTTGCCCTTATAGAAGATTATAAGGTCTGCTCCTTGTACTTTTGCTTATGCATGCTTTCTCGGCTGCTTTTGGACTATTTTGATTTAGATCTGGAGCTTTGTGGAAGTCTTATTTTCTTTTATCCCTTGTGGTTACAGCCTTCAGGCCTAAAGGTTAAAAGACGAGAAGGATGAAATCAGGACTGACATGTTCTTGTGGTGAAAGCTCATGTCCTGAATATATCGTGGTTACTGTATTTTTGGGAAATACATTCTTTTTTCCAGCCATTTTCAGTCTTCTTTTGTAGCTTGAAGCTGTAGCTCCATCTGGATTCTATCAAACATGCATTTAATGCTATGTTCTATTCAGTTAAAGGCATATATTTATATTTTATTTCTTATCTTTTTCAATCCTTTAGTAATCTTTTCTATAACTTACATCTTTAGAATATATCTTTGCTTTTGTATTAGGGTTAGAGTTCTTTAAACAAACTTGTTATTCAGCAGAAAGGAATATTTTTCTTGTGTATGTTCAAGGTTAACCATATACACCATTGTTTTTAGATCGATCACAAATATTGGCACATCATCATAATCATTATTATCATGGTCATTGTTAATAATATGCACTGATATATTTTGGAGAGAGGATTTCCCTTCCTCTGTGGACATTAAGTGGAATAATCAGCCCAATGTGCATAGTCTGTACATCTTTTATCTATAGCTATTTGAAACAAGACTTCATAAATCTAATCCTGAATAAACCCTCACATAGGGCTTTATAAACATATGAAGAATAGTTGCAGAACTGAGTAATGAAAATAAGGTGACATAATAGCAGTGTTCCAATATCTGCCACAAAGAAGAGGGGTCAACCTATTCTCCAAAGCACCTGAAGGCAGGACATGAAGCAATGGATGGAAACTAATCAAGGAGAGAACCAACCTAGAACTAAAGAGAAATTTCCTGACAGAACAATTAATCAGTGGAATGACTTGCTTCTATAAGTTTTGAGTGCTCCAATCCTGGAGGCTTTTAAGAAGAGATTGGACAGCAATTTGTCTGAAATAGTATAGGGTTTCCTGCTTGAGTAGAGGATTGAATTAGAAGACATCCAAGGTCCCTTCCAACTCTGTTGTTCTAGGTTTTTCTGTATTATTAATCAGTATATACTTACTAAAATGACCTGTGTCTCCCTCTCTTGCTGAATATTCATGAATATTCTGCAACTGTGTTCAACACTTGCACCTATTTCCTAATGGGAGGTGATTAAAACTACAGCTAAAAGGCAGTTGGCAGAAATAATTAAATTAATTCCTACACAAAAGAGGGCCACACTAAGATTGCCTAATTAGCAGTGGTTAAGGATTTCATTTTGGCCATGATGATCAAGGACCTGTCCTGTTATTTGGTCCGAATCATTCAGTAGGACATATACTATATTTCATATTCAGTCTGAGATGGTGATGAGAAAGTAGAGGGCTGGTTGTAACTCTGATGTTACACACAGATACTATTCAGTCAGTTTGCTGTTGGTGGCTGCTATTGACTTTTACGTGTGTGTGTGTGTGTGTGTGTGTGTGTGTGTGTGTTAAAGATCAGTCAAGAGAATCCAATTAAAGGGCTGAACCCAGATGATTCCTGAATGTACTTGAGGACTTGTCTATCTTATCTATTAGCAATGCCACTGAAACCTTGGTAAGTCTGTGTAACACGAAAATATGCAACATAAGGATAGTCCTTGGACTTACAACCATTTGTTTAGTGATTGTTCAAAATTACAACTGAAAATTACACTGAAAGAAGTGACTTACAACCAGCCCCCATACTTAAAACTGTCGTAGCATCTTCACAGTCATGTGGTAAAATTTTGGGTGCTTAGCAACTAACATTTACTGTATGATGTTTGAGACATCCTGGGGTCACGTGATCATCATTTGTGACCTTCCCATTCCTGGAAAGCAAAATAAATGGGAGAAGCCAGATTTGCCTAATAACCTGCAGGGATTAGTTTAAGATTAGAAAATTCAATATGACTCACTTAACAAACATCCTGCTTAGCAACAGAAATTTTAGTCCCAATTGTGGTCATAAGTTGAGGACACCCTGTATCTGATATTACTGCTTCTAAGCCAGTGGTGGGATTCAAATATGTGAACAACCGATTCTCTGTGTGGATGCCGCTTCCGGAAGTCCATTCTGGGCCTGGGCAACAAAAAATTAGCTACTGGTTCTGCTGAAGTAGTGTGAACTGGCTGAATCCCGCCACTGTTCTAAGCCCTCTTTTTCTTGAAGCAAGTGGCATCTTTGTTTCCAATGACTCTGACCACAGAAAGCTGGAGACATTGGAAATATCAATAAAGTGCTATTTAGACTGCTGGGCTGAAAAATGTTTTTAAATGATCCAGGACACTGATCCAATATGACAAAATGAAACCAAGTACAGTTCAGTGTAAAAAAAGTAACACAAACTATGAAAAAACCCCAAAACCATATCAAAACATTTTAAAACTAATTGCTTGCTATTATAAAATATAAAATCCATAACTAGAGTTTAAAATCAATGAAACTATGCTGAGTAATGTAACCTTTGGATGCTAACAGACAGGTAACATTACTAGGAATTATGGAACCCTAGAATAAATATTTTCTGTTAGGCAGAAAAGAGCAGAAGCCATCCAATGCAGCTATGGTTTTCACTACAGAGTGACCTTTTGATATGCTATAAAAATTGGAACAAAATGCTGTATTGATTTGTTTAGGTATGTAACAGTCAAAGCTAAATGGAATTCAGTGATATCATTCACTGGATTGCCAACTAATTGGTTCAATTTCCAGGCACGAAGATCAATCATGCTCATATTCCAACCCATAATTCTTATAGATAATGAAGCCAAGACACTGTTAGA